CGACCTCCCTATTAGTGCTGTGCAGTGAGTTTGCTTAAAGACAATTTTTTAATTTTATTACTTTTAATACATTTTCATGTATTTCTCATACTTTCCATACATTTTTATGTATTCTTGTGTTAATTCACATGTATTTTATTGTAATTTAATATTTTTGAATTTTCAATAAATTTTTTTCCCGGCCACAGTGTCTCCAGAGGAGGGGGGATGTTCTCGGACGCGACTAGTTCACGTTCGAGACGCATCGCCCCGCCCTTTATTTTTTCCGTTGGCCCCTCCCTGACCTGGAAATCCCTAATCGCTACTTTAGAAAGTATAAAAATAGGCGATTTTCAGGTCAATCAGTTCAGTCCTTCACGGGCTCTCCGAGAGCTTAGTGCTCTCGGGGCTCTGCTTTCTTTTTAGCTTTTTCCCATACTCTGTGGCTGAGATGTTATTCTACTGCAACCTGGTATTTTTATTTCGACTTTACCTTTGTCATGTAAGAAATACCTTGCCTTTTTCAAGGCAAGATGCCAGAAGAAAACATTTACGAATCCATACCCCGCAAATGGATTCAAGTAGAGGGGCTTTCGTCGACGTTTCCGAAGCCCTCTACAGAGCACATGGTGGTACAGAAGGTGCTTAGACCCTTATTAATTACCCCGCGGTGACAGTTTAAAGGCACAAACCCTTGATTTAGAGATGTTTGATATGGTTCATTCAGTCTCACTATACTTACCAATGACAAATAAAAAAATATATCAGTTCAGAGAAGAAACCTCTAAAGATAAAGTTTTGGCTACAATTTTTGATTTTTATTATAAAGGCTGGCCTAAAGAAAACAAGATTCCAGAGTATATAAAGCCATATTACAGTATTAAAAATGATATATATGTTGAAGCAGGAATTGTTTTTGTTGAAAATAAAATAATTGTACCAAAATCTCTAAAACAGGAAATGATTACTCTGTTACATAAAGGTCATATAGGAACTAGTAAAACTATTAATAAAGCAAGATCTTTATTTTTTTGGCCAAACCTTAGGGATGATATTGTCCAGTTTATAAAAAAATGTAGAATTTGTGAAAAATTCATGCCAAATAATTATAGAGAGCCAATGTTAGCACATTCAATACCAAAATTGAGGTTTAATAAAATTGCGGCTGATATTTTGGAATTTGGTGGTAAATCTTACTTAATTCTAATAGATTATTTTTCCCATTGGATAGATATGCTATCATTAAATAATAAAACATCTGAAGCCATAATAGATGCAATGCAAGATGTTTTTTCCAGATTTGGCTATCCTCAATTTTTAATTGCAGATAATTTACCATTTATAGCATTTAAGTGTAAAAAATATTACGATAATAAACAAATTACAGTCCTGACATGTTCACCTCATTACCACCAAAGTAATGGCCTTGCTGAAAAGGCTGTAGGAATTTGTAAACAAATTTTAAAAAAAAGTTTTGCAGAAAATTCTGATTATCGTGAGTTAGTTTTAGAATATAATAATACTGCTATTATTTCATTAAGTGCATCTCCATCACAAATATTAAATAGTAGATCTTTGAGAACAGAAATACCAGTAAATAGTGAACAATTACAACCTAAAATTCAGAATGAGATTTATAAACTGTTATCGGACCAACAACAAAAAACAAAAGTTCAGTATGATAAACATAGTAAACGTACACCAACAACTTATAAAAGGGGGGATAATGTAGTTGTTAAGAGTAGTGTTGATAAAGTATGGTATAAAGCTGTTATTGTAGAAAAAGCTAAAAAACCCAGATCGTACTGGATAAGAAAGGAATGCAATAATAGGATAGTTAGAAGAAACACAAGACACATAAGACCATCACATACAAAATCAGATGTAGCAGACATGTATCTTGAACTTGAGTTGTATCCACACACAAACCCAAATAGTTATAAGGATAATGATAATTAATGATTTAAATAATGTATGTATTCAGGATAATGATTTAACAAATTTGTTTAATGAACATAGGAATACTGATATTGTAAGTCCTCATTATAGCTGCTCAAAAAATAATGATAGTCAGAAATGTAATGTTTCAAAATTCGGACGTACAATTAAACCTAGGGTACGCCTTAATCTTTAAGGGGAAGTTGTTTGACATTAATGTAAGATAGGCTTAACGTACACCTGGTAACTATGTCAAATATGTCAATGTCAAGTCAACAGCACTTCCCAACGTGGACAATGGGCAACATGATCATGTTGTAATGTATGAATATTATTAATATATGTTCAGCCAATACAGTAGTTTAATTGAGACCTTATTAACATACTTTAAACAGTTACCAGTAACTCTTTTCTACTAATATTTATATATTTATTGAGAGGCATATTAAATACATTTAGATTTAAGTTGTTCTACAAAATGGAACATTAAAAGTACATAGATGAGACAAACCATGGTAATATGGTACTCTTAAGACCAATCTCACTCACAAGAGAGAGACAGATCCCTCCTCGCACTTAACAGGCAAGCTCATAGACCTCTCCATACGATAGTGTAGTCATGGTCTGCTAATCTAATCCAACTTTGAAAGGCGCACACCTGTAGAAATTATGTCGAACCCTCTCTAAGTTGATGATTTTTAAGATAGTTGTTGAACCACCACCTACAAAATAATTCAAATAGTAAGCAAGTTGATTTTATAATATATAATGTTAGGTTAAATTTATAATTAACTAATTTTATAAGTAAAAGGTCACATAAGGTAACTGACCCTATAATTGACACTGTCCGTATATTTGACAGGATTTATCAATAAAGCTAAAAATTAAGAAAATGGATCCGCAATTCAGTAGATTTGTGGTAGTAACGCCATCTTTCATTTGTTTTGAAATCAATCACCCCGACTTTTTTACTCAGTTGGTAAAAACGCGCCAAAACAACAGTTGTAATGTGCATGCACACGGTGCAATAGCGTCTCTTGTGTTTTGATGTGGAGAATAAATTAAGGTGAGTGAAAATCAAGTTACTTTTCAAATGTGTTCTACAATGTTGCTACTGTTGCAAGGAAGGTTTTGTTGCTTGATATAACATTTATAGAGTCTAAAAATCAATTTTTCATTAAAAATGCTCTAAAATTTCCAATATGTCAGCTATTTTTTAGGGTGTCAAATTTTAGGACATCTTCTGGTAAAGTGCTATAAATTTGACATGTAGTTGTCAAATTTAGGGACACCCAACTATTAATATCATATGTTCGTTTTCTGTATCCATCTCACAGAAATTGCGTATAGTTATCCTTTTTTGGTATATTTCATTACCAATGTTTTAAAAACCTAAATCTGACACCCCAGTCAAATTTAAGATCAAGGGGTGTCAAAAATAGGTACACGAAAGTTGCTTTATGAAAAATTGAATTAATTTAGCATTATTTTGTTAATAAGTAAGGATAACTAAGAAAACTCTTATTTTTAGATGCCTAACAAGGGAAATATTTATAGAAAGTATTCTCAGGAGGATCTGAGTAGAGCTGTAGAAGCCTGTAAAAATGGAATGTCTTGTGCTTCAGCAGCTAAACAATTTAATGTGCCACGTATCACTTTGATGTACAAAGTGTCAGGAAAATTTCCTATGGGATGCAAAAGTGGAGTAAGCACTGTATTAACTGAAGGCGAAGAAAGTCTATTAAAGGATTGGATAATAAATGTTGCTAAAACCGGTTTTCCCGTAACAAAAGACCAACTATTAGACAGTGTTGCCTTGATTGTGAAAAGGTTGAAGAGGCCTAATAATTTTACAAATGGTAGACCTAGTAGACATTGGTTTGAAGGATTTTTGCAGCGACATCCGGAATTAAGTCAACGAATGACCCAAAACCTAACAAGCTCTAGGTCTGCTGTCTCGGAAACAAATATCCGAAAGTGGTTTGAGGAAATCAATGAATATTTTGTTGCAAATAACATTGAAATCACCAATCCCAGACAAATATTTAACGCTGATGAAACAGCCTTTTTCTTGTCGCCAAAGGGCAAAAAAGTTCTTACTAAAAAAGGATCAAAAATAGTATACAGCTATTCAAATGCAAATGACAAGGAATGTATCACTACACTAATAACAGGTAAAGTATCTTAAATAATAGGTAACACTTTTCTCTACTAAATTTTCATGTTTTTTAGGCAATGCTGCAGGTGAAGTAGCTCCGCCGATGATAATACTTAGCTATGAACGGATCCCTAAGAATATAATATTAAAGTGCCCACAACCCGACTGGGCAATAGGACGCTCGGACTCTGGCTGGATGACAGCTGAGAGTTTCTTTGAATTCATTTCCAATAATTTTTACAACTGGTTGTTAAAAAATGACGTCCCATTTCCAGTTGTTCTATTTGTTAATGGGCATAAGTCCCACTTAACCTACAATTTAAGTGCCTTTTGTTCCGAAAAGAATATCATACTGATAAGTCTTCTGTCTAACGCCACTCACATTTTACAACCTATGGATGTGGGCATTTTTCATCCATTAAAAAGTGGGTGGCAAAATGAAGTTCATGCTTGGAGACTAGAAAATAAAAAACAAACCCTTAAAAAAGAAGATTTTGCGCCAATGCTTAATAAAGTTTTGCAGAAAGTTCTTGGTTCTGGGCAAGAGAAAATACTGAAAAATGCGTTTAGGAAATGTGGATTATATCCATTCGACTTTAATAGTGTCGATTTCTCAAAAGTGTTGAGAAATGAAATTGCATCAACTCTCTCAGATGTACAAGATACATGCCACTTGAAATCAAATAAAGTTGTTAAAGATGATTTAATAGGTGCTTTAAGGGTCATAGAATCTTTTCTAGACAAAAATCTACTTGAGAGTTTTCGAGCTAAGGTGAAATTGGCTAAATGGAATGGAAAAGTAGAAGATACAAACTTATTTTTTCTTTGGAAGAATCTGAATGAAAAGGTACATGCAAACAAGCACCCTGAAGGAGAGGTCTCGAAGTATATAATAATAGAGGTTGCACATGATGTTTTGTTGGAGGACATAAATTGGGAAGATGTAGATATTGAAACAGAGGAACAAGAAATTTTAGATAACGGAGAAAATGAAGCAGTCATCAAGGAAAGTGGAGAGGCAAATGTAACAACATTAGATGAAGAAGATACTATTATTTTAGATCCTAGTAAGAAAGGTGAAGAACAAGCACCACACTATGAGACTATCGTTAGTATAGATAGAGTGATAGAGGGAGAAGATGTAGTTTTGGAAAACGGTAGCAAATATGTGGAGCAAACGAATAATGAGAATGTAACCAAAATAATAGAAATAGTAGGAAACAAAAGAGAAGAAGAAACGATTTTCGAGGCTGATGGGAAAATTAAATGTAGCGAGCAACTAAGTGATGAGACAACTAAAGTAAGAGAAACAAATTAAAAAGAAAAAGAAAAGACAAATATAACTTTGGATAATAGTGAGAAATGTAGCGAGCAAGCAAGCGATGAAATAACAGTTAAGGGAGTTGAAACAATAGAGAAAGAAATCGTCAAAAATAACGATAAAGAAGAGATAGACGAAGCAAAGGAAAATAAGAACATGATTTTAAAGAATAATAAGGATGCTCTATTGATACCCTCCCCTTTTAAATCTATTTTGTTTTGGCCAGATGGAAGTACAAACAAAAAATCAGGAAGAGTTGTCAAAGAAAAAGTTCCAAGTGTATGTTCCTCAGAACAGTGGAAAGAATATTATTTGAAAAAGGAAAACGAGAAGACTGAGAAAGAGAATGCAATTCTAGATAGAAAAAAAAAGCGAGAGGAGAAAAAACTTCAACTTCAAGAAGAAAAGGAGAAAAGATCAGTAAAGAAACTTTATAGACCTAGTGCAGTTGAATTTGTGAAGAAGAATATTTTTTTAAATGGAAAAAATACTGAAGATAATTCAGTCGGTGTCGAAAAGAAGGAAACTACTCCAAAATCTGAAATTAATGTGACCGACTACGTTATAGTTCGCTATGAGGGTGAAAAATTCCCGGGAAAGGTCAAGAAAATTTCAAATTACAATGGTTTTTTTGTTAGTGCTATGGTGGCAAGTGGACTGAATTATTGGAAGTGGCCATCAGAGCCAGACGAACTTTGGTATTCTGCAGAAGACATTGTAGAAAAAATAAATATTCCAACACCAATAAATAATAGAGGTATTTATTCCATACCAGAAATCGGAAAATATTGTAGTTTCGTGACATAAAAAGATGGCTTTTCTCTACTTAGGTACCTATACTTACCTAAAATATGTAGATACCTAAGTATGTAGGTATCATTTGTACGTTGTTATTGAGAATAAAAATTTTATTTTCAGTAAAAAAAGTGTATATACTTATCACCTGACACAATTATTATTATCAATTTTATATTCCCTAAGTAAGTACTGAGACTTCTGACAATTAATTTTGAAAATTGTAAATGTATGTCAAATATAGATACAACCCACTGTCAACTTTTGGGACACTGTCAAAATTGGGTACAATTTCATGTCAAATTTATGAACAAAATCAAAATTTTGCTGTCAAATTTGGGGTCACTATTATAACCTAGTTCTAAACGGTTTTATGTCTTAAGGTGTCAATTATAGGGTCAATTACCTTACATACATATATTAGCATAATAGTTCTTACCTGGAGCTGGTAAAAACTGTCGTGTTATCAAAGAGGGGTTACAAATAATAATCGTTACTTCACAACATCAGTTTATTCTCAACCCTCAAACATACATGCTTGCCCGAGCTTCGGCTACGTTCACATGACATCCCTGTCATCTGTGTTGCCTAACTCCGGCGCCTATATCTTAATCTAAGCTAACAACACATCTCCTTTTTTTTATAAAAGATCCCTGTGTCATTAATGATCTTATACCTAAACTAACTTAAACTACTACAAACATAATCTGTTAAATGAACCGGTTTCTTCACAAGTCTTTTTGGCCTGCTAGGCTTTACGCACTCAAAGTCCGATACACTATCGCTTTTATCCTGACCCGATGGAGGTAAAACATGATTTCCACTTTGTTCGATTTTGTCCTGAAATACACTGGGTTCCCCCCTACTACTTTCCTCCATTATTTTACCCTGTATGTCACCATTGCTTTGATTAGAGCAAGGCATTAGCTTTGTGTTACTAGAAATTGGCGGAACATAATCATTTGAGGATTCTGGTTGGGTGCTCAATACAGGGAAACAGTAGGGTGCATGAATCAAATGCCATCTATTTCTTCTAAATTTCCCGGTTTCAGTTTCAATTATATAGGACCTGGGTTCCTGACAGATCGCAACAACTCGCCCATATTTCCTGATATCAACCACCCACACAGAATCACCAACCTTAAGAGGATCTAAATCCTTGGCATTGTGTCGCTTATTGTAGTTTTTCACTTGTTTATCCTTTATTTCATTCTTTTTATTTTTAGTGTTTGGTTCTTTTGAAAAGTTTAATAAGCTTGGAAGCTGGGGTAAGTTAGATCTTAATTTTCTATTCATTAATAATTCAGAAGGTGAAACACCACATTCTAGGGGTGTACATCTATATGCTAACAATGCCAAACTTAGGTCCTCTTTTTTATTTTTCTGAATTAATCTTTTTGCAATTTGTACAGTGCGTTCCACTCCACCGTTGCTCTGAGGCCAGTGCGGACTGCTCGTCGTATGAACAAAATTATATTCTTTTGAAAACTTTATAAATTTTGATGAAAATTGAGTACCACAGTCGGATCTAACTTCCTCTGGGATACCATAACGAGAGAAAATATCTTTAAGCTTAGGAATAATGGCATCTTCTGTCATATTGGTTAAAGTAAAAATTTCAAACCAATGTGAAAAGTAGTCAGTGGCAATCAAATACCACTTATCATAACATTTAAACAAATCAACCCCCAGTTTTTGCCACGGCCTTTGTACAGTATTGTCTTTATGAAATGTTTCTCTATGATTTACTCTGTGTTCAACACATTGGGGACAATGTGTGACAAGGTTATTAATCTGGGATGACAAACCCAGCCACCAAACGCTCTGTTTGGCACGATCTCGACATTTTACAATTCCCATATGGCCTGTATGAATAAATTCCAACACCTTGAGTTGAAGACTCTTAGGAATGATTATGCGAGACCCTTTTAAAAGTAATTGTTCCGAATAGGAAATTTCATATCTATATTGATAGTATGGCAACAATTCAAATGGCAATTTAGATCTTTCAGGCCAAGAAGACAAAGAATATTCTTTTAGTTTTTTACAAATATATTCATTTTCTTGTTCTGTTTTTATTAAATTCAAAAAATAATCTTTAATTGGTAAATTATGAATAATTGACTGCACATATGCTGCAGTTTCAGCAGTTAGTTCTTTATTAGCTAACGTATCTGTTTGTAAAGGGGCCCGACTTAAAGTATCTGCTACAATTAAATTTTTTCCCGGCGTGTAGATTACAGTATACTTGTATCGCATTAAACGCATTCGAAATCTTTGCAAACGTGGCGTTAACTCATCTAAATTTTTAGTTTGCAGAATTTGTAGTAAAGGTTTATGGTCTGTTTCAAAAATTAGGTTAGGAACTCCTGAAATAAAATCATAAAAATATTCTGCTGCCCATGTAAGTGCAAGAGCTTCTTTCTCAATCTGAGCGTATCGTGTTTCAGCTGAGTTCAGAAGCCTAGATGTAAAAGCCACTATTTCCCGAGTATGATCTACATTTTCTTGAAATAGACATGCACCTATACCAAAACAACTTGAGTCTGCACTAACAATTATGGTTTTATTAGCATCAAAAAACGCTAGATTTGGAGGGCTCTCTAACTTTTGTTTTAAAGTGCTGAAAGCTTTATCTTGTGCTGGACCCCACAAAAAGTTAATATTTTTTTTTAGTAAGTGTGTTAATGGTTCAAGAATCTCAGATTTATTATGAATGTATTTTGCAGCAAAATTAATCATACCCAGCCATCTTGACAGCTCAGTCTTATTTTTTGGTTCAGGAAAATCACGGATAGCTTTAACCCTATCTGGATCAATTAATATCCCTTGCTCAGAGACCATATGACCCAAGTATTTAGCTGTTTTTGTTGCTATAGAGCATTTGTTTTTATTTAGTGTAATACCTTCCTTATGAAGTTTTGTTAGGACTGTGTTCAAAATATTGTCATGTTCCTCTATTGTCCTTGCATGAATAAGAATGTCATCTATATGGACAACACAGCCTTCAATGCCAGTTAAGATTTTTGAAAATCTCATAGTAAAATACTCTGGGGCACAAGATATACCAAATGGAAGCCTTTTAAAGAAAAATCTGCCAAAAGGTGTTATAAAAGTTGTTAACAACTGACTTTCCTTATTCAATTTTATTTGGTAAAACCCACTTGTGGTATCCAATTTTGAGAAGAATTTAGACCCTTTCAACTGTGCTAGTGTATGAGATATTTTCCCGAGAGGAAAATGTGACCGTAACACGTTTTCATTAAGTTTAGTATAGTCACCACAAAGCCGTACACAATCTCCCTTGTCCACACAAACAATTGGGCTGACCCAAGAAGTAGGATCTTCAATGGGTTCAATTATCCCTAATTTTAGCAATCTATCAATTTCAATTCTTAATTTTGGTAACAGAGGTAAAGGAACAGTTCTGGGAACGCTCTGTACATAAGGTTTAGCATCTGGCTTAATTCTAATTGACATTTCCATTTTAAATTCACCTATATCACTAAAAATACCAGGAAATGTTTTAGCAACAGACTCTAAATTAAATTTTGAAAACATATTAGTACTCTCAGATTGATTACAATGAACAACACTGCAACTGATTTGATTTACCTGTTTAAGCTTACAATTAGAAAAATTTAGAACATTAAACTTAATGATTGATTCTCTGCTTAATATAGGTTGTCTCAACTTCCTAATACAATATATTGTTTCATCATTTGTAAAACCGTCATAAGTAAATTTTATATGTAGCTTACCCACTGTGTCCAATTTATGATCGTCCGCTGCACCAATTGCATCACATGCCACAATTTTACCCACATATTCTGGAGGTAATTTTTCATAGGGAAAGCAGTTAACATCTGCTCCTGTATCCACAAAAAAAGGTACCTTAAATTTGTCATCCAATAAGATGTCTACATACCAACGATCCTTCTTGTCTAGGTACACTTGGCCAATAAAGGAATCTGTATGTACCACTTGATTTACTGAATCCCTTCCTTCGTCATCTGTACTACTGCTACTGGTGGACCTTGAACACTTAACAGCTCTGACAGCTTTCTTCCTGCACATCACACTCCAATGACCTCTACGTGAACAAGATCTGCATTCAGAGAACTTGGCTGGACATTTCTCCCTATTTTTACATGTAGGTATGCCACAGTATCCACATCTGTAACCTTCCTTAACTTTCTCATGAGTTGTTTCTTGTTTAGCAAAACTCTTACCTTGATGTCTTTTATCACTACGCTCCCTGTAGTCCTGTTTAACTGCACTAACTGACTGCTCCTGTCTCATAATTCTATTTTGACTATCTTGAAGTTCAGCTTGGCGTGCTATTTGTATTGCCTTCTCTAGTGTCAAACCATCATTTAGTTGCATTCTTTCGCTCACCTTTTTATCAGCTATTCCGATAACTATCCTGTCACGAATTAACTCATCTTTAAGAGCTCCATAGCTACAGTGCTCTGCAAGAGTATGTAGACTTGAAATAAAGTTTCCCACAGGTTCTCCTGGCCTTTGTACCCTTGAATTAAATTGAAATCTCTCAAAGATTGTATTTCTTCGGGGAATAAAATGATTGTCGAAAATCTGCATTACATCTTGAAAGGATGCATTCTCCACTGGTTGATTTTGAAGTAAAATATCTTCTGCTTCATTTCCCATTAAATACAACAGTAGGTCTAATTTATCCTTGTCAGATTTTTGTCCAAATCCACTTACAGACATATATCTCTCTACTCTTTTCTTCCATTGGGGCCATGTCTGGGGCTGTGTAAAATCAAATTCGCTTGGAGCCGAAATGTTCGCAAACACTTCTTTATTTATTTGGATAGGTGCATCCATTTTAAGGATTTTAGGTCCCCTCTGATTTATAGGTTATGCATAAGATTTGCACTGTTGTCACGTTCGACCACTCTTTGCTTGTTTAATGTTAACAAAACAAAGCACCAGCTGCCACCATGTCGTGTTATCAAAGAGGGGTTACAAATAATAATCGTTACTTCACAACATCAGTTTATTCTCAACCCTCAAACATACATGCTTGCCCGAGCTTCGGCTACGTTCACATGACATCCCTGTCATCTGTGTTGCCTAACTCCGGCGCCTATATCTTAATCTAAGCTAACAACACAAAAACAAACTCAGAAGGGCTGTTCTCGTAATACCGGTATGTCCAACATTAATTATATCGTCCTCTTTAAAATGACTACCGCATACACGAAAATTGGGCATACTTCAATCAAAGCTTCAATATTGGTGCAATGAACATAACCTGGCATCGAACTACACTTCATATAATTTATATACCGATGCACGTCATCGGCGTCATAGCCTGTGACGTCACATGATACCAACACAAAATATTTAGGGTGTAGGTGTGTTCTTTTTTAGAATCACTTTACCGAGTACACTGGCATTACAGCCACTAGACATATTTTATTATATACACGTAAAAATAATATTTAAAAATTTCTATTAATGTTAACTTAAAGAAATACACAATAATATGTATACACGATACTTGTATAAATGCATTATAAAGCGTTTTTATCAAGAACATTTGTTCGGAATACACTGTAACTGTAATCGAACGAAGGTAAAATTTTGGCATAAATTGGTAACACTTATTTGACAGTTGCGGTGTTGACACTTTTTGTACTTCAATATTTTGAATTTTAAAGTAAATATCTCTTGTTTTATATTTTTAACTATTTAATAAAATCTGTTCTTTTTAGAACAAAATTAGTGTGTTTTATTTCAAAAATGTCACATAAGAATTTAAATAGTCGTTGTAAAGAGATGGTAATACTTTTGCAATAATTATGTAATCTATTTGATTTAAAATGGAGTCAGGATTTTTTTATACTTTGGCAACTATGTCAACTTCGATCTCTGACGTAAATAATGACGTAAGTCGTTATCTAAATTAGATGAAGTATATATCGATACCTTAATTCGCAAAACGGCCAACTCCACTTTTTGGTCAAATCGACATTTTCATTGAAACTGATTCTTTGTAACACTACCTACCCGTTCCAAAACGAATTACTCCTAAATTAAAAGCCGTTGCCTTACAACAACCTGTAGGAAAATCGAACAACTCCAGCGTTGTCGATTTTGATCGGCTAACTCCGTAATAACAATGTCAGTACAACCTTGCCGTTAACAGTGGTAGTTTGTTCGTCTCGTTTATTAGTCTCAAACTTGTGTTCTAGCTGAAATATTGGTGGTTTATGCGAAAGGATTGCTTTTACATGGTAAGTACTAACAATATTGTATTAAAAAGATACGTTTAGTGACTAGTTTATTGCTTTAATTAGTATGTAGAGATATCCGTTTTTCTAAGTCATATATTTGATATATTGTGGAGTTAGCCACAAATCCTAATTATCTGTTGAGGTTGTTGTTGGCATCACTTTAAATAAAAAACCATAAATTTTATCTAATAATATGATGATTTAACTTGAAAATTTAATAAAATATAATAAGTAGTAAAACTCAGATAATTTATAGTACCCACTTATCGTATTTTATACTTTTAAATTTTGTAATTTTAAATGTAAACACACCAATGTGAATAGTATTCAAAATTGTGTGCCTTTTTCTATTATTTTTAATTCTTACTTACTTACTTACATACTTAATAATTACTTACAGAATAATGTCACGTGCACAAAGAATCCTCCAACTTGCAGTTAATGCAAATGAACAGGACAATGTATTGACAAACGAAAATGGTCAAAATTCTTCACATAATCATAATTCTATAGAAGATCTTGAATTCACGAATATTCCAGTTTTGTCTTTTGATTTTTCAGAGTTTATTATTGACCGTACTGTTGATATTGAAGACGTAAATTTGTTAACTTCTGAATATAGCACAGATGAATTTACTTCCCTAATATCATGTAAGCAACCAAATGATGAATCTAAATATAATGAGGTTCCAACAAACTTTAGCTCTGATAGGCAGATAAAATTATTACTACCTGAAAACAGTACCCACGATTTTGACATAAATAGTAAAGATGGAGAAATACCCATACCCGAAAATCCTCTGACACCCACTGTACACAATAAAATTTTAAAACAAAAAAATGACTTAAAAAGTCTAGTTCCTTACAGTGATTCTGAATCTGAATTAGAAATAGAAAAATTGAAAGTCAAAAGAAAAAAGCGCTGTGAAGTAAATACACAAGAATGGCAAAGTAACAAAAATATGCAACAAAGGGAACAGGGACTCCCATACTATGGAAAAAAAAAACTTGGTACCACTTGGAAAAAGAATATAAGAAAACCAGCCAAGAAACTTAAACCTCGTTGTAAATGCATCATAAAGGTAAACAGTGCATTAAAACGCCATCTTGTATCGGAAGATGCGAGGAAACAAATTTTTGATAAGTTTTGGTCTATGACATGGCAAGAAAAAAAAGTGTATGTAGACGGACTTATAAAGGATATTCCTACAAAGTGACCGAGAGATAGAAAAGATCCTGAGAAGTCTAAAAGGACAAGCACGTTGATATATCAACTTAAGAGCAGCGAGGAAATGATTAGGGTGTGTAAGACGTTGTTTCTAAATACACTTTGCATCGGAAAAACTAGTGTTTGGTTCTGGAAAGCCTTCGAAAACAGCACAAAGCGCCGATCAAGAAAACGTCATTACAAAATCAAAGCCGTTAGAAAGGGACAGAAAGGAACTTAATGATTTTATCGATTTTATGCCCAAAATGGAATCACATTATTGCAGGCAGAGAACCTCTAAACTATATCTGCAGACAGATATCAGGTCGAAACAGGAATTCCATAATCTGTATATCCAACACTGTAAATCAAAAAATATGTCACCGTTGTCCATAGCTACATTCTCTAATGCACTTACTTTGAAAAATGTGTCCCTGTTTAAACCCAAAACGGACATGTGTGAGACTTGTCATAGCTATAAACTAGGACATATTTCCAAAGACATATATGAGGTACACATGGCAAAAAAGAATGAAGCGCGAGCTGAAAAGGAAACTGACAAACAAAATAAAGAGTATGTCTTCACAATAGATCTTCAGGCTGTGTTATTAGCACCACGCTCCAATGTATCCAGTCACTATTATAAAACAAAGTTGTGTGTACATAACTTATGTATTTTTGATTTAAAAACTCAACAGGGTCACTGTTTTCTATGGAACGAGTCAGAAGGAGGTTTAAACGGTGACGAATTTGCCACAATTGTATCAAGGTTTCTACAAGAAAACGTAATCCCAAAAATACTATCTGCTTCAAATGAGAATCCAGAAATTATTTTATTTACAGACGGTTGCATCTATCAGAACCGAAATACTGTAATGAGCAATGCCCTACTCAATGTGGCTATGATAAATAATGTCACAATTATTCACAAATACTTGGAGGTAGGACACACGCAGATGGAAGTAGATAGTATGCATGAAATGATCGAGAAGCAATTACAGAACCGGACAATTAACGTTCCAGCTGACTACATTGACATCTGCAGGAAAGCAAAGAAGGGACATCCCTATAAAGTCAACTACCTGGATCATTCCTATTTTAAGAATTTTCAATCAGTACAGTTCTATATATTGAGAAATTATAAAGTTCTGGAACAAAAATGGAGATTTGATGAACAAAATAAAACACGTGTTTACTCTATGACTGTAATTTTACTACTGCTCTAAAAAAGGAAAGTGATACATTATTCAACTAGTAAAGTAGCCAATAGATGGCACTGCTAGAAAATATTCAAATTTATTTATCTATATCCAACACTCCCACTAGATAAACAAATTTAAAAAATATCAGTTAACAAATATTTCTGACACTACATTAACTAAACCAATCTCTTTCAAAAACTTGTTGTGTTTTACAGGACTCAAGCTTTTTGTCAAGAGATCAGCTGGCATGTTAGCTGTGTCTAAATACTCCAGCTTTATCAAACCTTTGTTTACAGCTTCTTTGACAAAATGATATCGGATATCAATGTGTTTTGTTCTTCTATTCAATACAGGATTTATTGCTAGTTTCTGAGCTCCCATATTATCATTATATAGTATAACAATTTCATCAATACCCAACATTTCATACAACAAATTCTTTAAAAAAATAGCCTCTTTAGCAGCTTCCGATACTGCTATATATTCAGCTTCCGTGATTGACAGAGAAACACTATTCTGTTTTCTGCTTTCCCAGACAATAGGTCCACCAGAAAACTGAAAATAGAAACCAGTATAAGATTTTCTGTCATGAGAATTACTCCCCCAACTCGCATCTACATAACCTTTCAAATAATTATCATTTTTTGAAAAACTTAATCCATACTCTTTTGTAGTCTTTAAGTATTTTAATATTCGTTTTACATGCTTCCAATGCGTTTCTGAATGATAATTATTAAATTGACTGAGATAACTTACAGAATATGAAATGTCTGGTCTTGTCAAAAATGACAGATACATAAGACCACCTATTAAATTCTGATAAGGCACTTGAGGAGATGCATTATCTTCTCTATTCAAACTTAAACTAATCTCCATTGGGGTAGCAACTTCTTTTGAATCCTCCATATTGAACCTTTTTAACAATTGTTCAATATAGGATTTTTGATCTAGAGTTATAACACCATTCTCTTTATTACGAGTTACTCTCATACCTAAACAATTCTTAATTTCTCCTAAATCTTTAATTTTGAAACATTCATTTAATTTCAATTTTAAATTATCTGATTCATCTGAATCGTTAGAAAAAATAAAAAAATGATCAACATAAACAGAGATAATGGTTTTTAGACTATTTTTCATCTTTGTGTACAGACATGGCTCATAATCACATTTCTTATAACCTAGATTAATTAAGAAGTTATCGACTTTTTCATACCAAGACCTAGCTGACTGTTTTAAACCGTATATGGCTTTCTTAAGCCTTAAAATTTTGTTATTTTCGACTTCTAAACCTTCAGGTATAGTCATGAAAACATTTTCCTTTAGATCACCATTTAGAAAAGCCGTAGCTACATCAAGATGAAAAATATCCAAATTCAAATTTGCTGACAAAGCAAATAAAAGTCTTAATGTAGAATGCCTTATGACTGGAGAAAAGGTTTCATTATAATCAACTCCAAACTTTTGAGTGTAACCCTTTGCTACCAGTCTTGCACGATATTTCACTTTACCTAAGTTGTCAACCTTTCGTTTGTATACCCACTTACACTTCACTACACAACCATCTTAGGGAACATCAACCACTTCCCATGCTGCGTTGTCCTGGAAAGACTGCAGTTCTTCTGTCATAGCCGCTAACCATAGATTACAATCTGGTCTTGACATAGCATCCTCGACACTAACTGGATCACAGTCACTATCCGAACACAAATAACTCACAAAATCATCAAACCTTTTTGGCTTAGGTATTCTGGTTGATCTCCTGATTTCATCTGGTAAGTTTGGCAAGTTACATAAGTAATCAGGATCGTTGTCTTCAGCAATTTCATCAACCGATGTGTCCTTTTCATTATGATGATTTTGTTCCTGACATGATTCATGATTATCTCCCACTGAATCTGATAATCCTGACAACTCTTCATCAACTGTGATTGAAACATCAACTGATTTTTCATTTATTACTACATCCCTACTTATAACAATATCTTTTATTTCGGGATCATATAATCTGTAACCTTTAATGTTGTCACTATAACCAACAAGCACAGTTTTCTTTGATTTTTTGTCCCATTTATACCTTTTTTCTTTAGGTATCAGCATCATTACCTCAGATCCAAAGATTCTTAGATGACCAACTTCAGGTTTTTTGTTGGTCCAAATTTCTATCGGAGTTTTAGTCACACCTGTTACAATTGAACGGTTTCTTAGATAAACAGCAGTGTTGACTGCTTCAGCCCAAAATATCTTTTCGAGGCCAGAGTCAAACAAAAGACACCTTGCTTTATCCACTATCGATCTGTTTAATCGTTCTACAGCACAATTTTGTTGTGGAGAATAAGGATTTGACTTTTGATGAATGATTCCATTACTTGTTAGAAAATTTTCAAAAATATTACTACAAAATTCACCACCTCCATCGGTTCTCAAAATCTTTATTTTAGTATCCTTCTGTTTTTCTACTAAAGATTTAAAATTTTGAAAAGTTTCATCTTTACCCTTTTGGAAATATACAAAAGACATCTTACTAAAATCATCTTGAAGGATAAAGAAATATCTAGAACCTCCTAATGAAGTCATCTCCATTGGTCCACACAGGTCAGCATGGATAATCTCCAAGCAAGCACTAGCTCTATTACCTCTGTAACTAAATGGGGGTCTAGTCTGCTTTCCTTCACAACATACTTTGCATACATCATTGTTTGTTATATTACTGTTGCAATTTATACCGTCTACTAAATCATTCTTCATTAGATTTAAGTCTTTATAATTTATGTGACCAAATCTTCTGTGCCATGTTTCACTACTAATTGTAGTTGCCATAAAAGCTTTCTGCTTATTGGGCACTTCAAAATTTAAACGATATACATTGTCTATCAAATCAGCTGTTGCAATCAATCCATTTTTATTGTATATTTTGCAACCTGCATTGTTAAATATAACATCATTTCCATTTTTTATTAGCTGAGAAACAGATAAAAGGTTTGTTGTCAGATCAGGAACATATGATATATTATTTATGCTTACCTCAGATCTCTTATTATCAACAATTGTGGTTATCATCATATCACCAGCACATTCTACCGTTAATAGTTCACTGTTAGCCACAGATATATTGGACATACTACTATCTCGAATATTTCTCAACCAATCTTTTCTAGCTGTAAGATGCGTGCTGCATCCAGAATCGGGGCATTTCGCAATTGCGGGCACTCTAACCTAACCAAATATATTTTCCTCAAGGCACTGCGTCACAGTGTTGCCGTATTTATTTTAGTAAAATATGTATATGAATGCTACAAATATAAATTTACTTTTACGAAATAATGATTTGTGTTATGAGAAGCTACAAATTTTAAATAAGTATAAAACTTGCCGTATTTTTTTTGTAAAATGTATATGAAGGTTTAAAATATAAGTTACTTTTACGAAATTATGAGAAGCTACAAGATTTAAATAAGCATAAAACAAATATTTTCTTTGTTTATAAAACAAATTTCTTATAAAAAAAAAGTTTGTTTCTTATAAAACAAATATTTTGTAAAATCTTTGAATTTTTATATAATTTCAATGCATTTCTATTATATACGGTAATTTAATTATTACTATTAATTTTTTATATAATTTTAATAAATTTTATTGTATATGCATTTGATTATTATCTTTAATTTAACTAAAATCTATACTATTAATTTTTTATATATCACTTTAATCAACATTTGTATAATATTATGTGCGAGTATGAAAAAACTGGAGACTTGGCAACTCTGACACCATTTAAGGGAACGTTAAATGTCATATAAATGCTTGGTTAGGTTAGAGTGCCCGCAATTGCGAAATGCCCCAGAATCGATATAAAAATCTGTAGATTTAAATTTTCTACTTAAAAACACTGCACTAAACGCATTATTATTAGCATTAGGGCATTTATTCATGAAATGACCTTTCTGTTTACAACGAAAACAGGTTATATTTCTCTTGTCAGTCTTGTCTTTCTTGTTGACGTTCTTGACATGATTAGTGCTAACTTCACTCGACTTTGTAGCAAAAGCTTTCTGCTTTCCACTGCTAGCGCCGTCTATCTGCATATCAAGCAATTTCGATTTAATTTCGTCGGTGGTAATAGCGATTCCTGAATGTTCGATAGCTAGAATCATGGGCATATACCTTTCTGGAAGTCCCGCCAAAAGTAATGACCCCACCCACGTGTCATCAATCTTGAAGCCGGTCCTATTCAATTTCTGAGCCGTTTCGATCAATTGATTAACGTATGATTCCATGGAATTGCAGTTTTCCAACCGTAAAGATATCAGCGTTCGAAGCAATCCTATTTTCCGCGAAAAACCTGAATCTTCGAATAATTTTTTCAGCGTATCCCATACATCTTTCGCCGTGCAAGCATCTTTTACATGCAAATATAGGGATGGATCTAATGTTAATATTAACTTAGCTTTAGCTTTGGCAACAAGTGTTGTGTCTTCTTCAGTTCCCTGGATACACTTGGACAATCCTTCTAGAACGAAGACATTCTCAACCGCAAACGACCAGTCCTGGTAATTGTCCCTACCGGTTAAACGCGGTACACTTGTAAGATAGTTTACAGCCATTTTCGATACTGTTAATCCACTAACTTTTTACCGAATGAACACGTACAACACTATTTGAACTAATCGGAAATCTTCCACTTAATCGTCTGGGCCCATAACCTATTGAGAAATTATAAAGTTCTGGAACAAAAATGGAGATTTGATGAACAAAATAAAACACGTGTTTACTCTATGACTGTAATTTTACTACTGCTCTAAAAAAGGAAAATTCAACTAGTAAAGTAGCCAATAGATGGCACTGCTAGAAAGTATTCAAATTTATTTATCTATATCCAACACTATAAAGCTATCAGACCAGGCAAAATGAAGGGAGATGCAAAGGTTAGTCACTCAAATGATATGTTTTAATCAATATTTCATATTTAAAGATAAATTTCTAATTTATACAAAAAAAATTAAATATGGCAATAGATATTTTACACTATAATAATATGTGTCTGATCTAACTTTCTTTTAACTTGCTGAAAAAGGGTCATAAGCAGACAAATGTTCTCACTTGTAATCTGTTTCTCCTGTTGACTTCATGCAATTAAGAGGAAAAGAAAATCAAGCACACTATAAACATTTATCTGCTTTTATATAACATTTTATATAAATTTTATAAAAACATTTATCTGCATTTATCTGCTTAGTAAATACTTGCTGTAATATGTAATACTTGCTAAAGTACTGCTTAGTACCTACTAAACAGTGACTTCAAATCAGAGATATGTAAGAGAGGGGATATGACACAAACGATATTTCTGCATTTAATAAATGGGACTACTTATTTTGACTGATTGTCTACACCAATATGGCGGCGGGCAGGTCCGGATTCAAATTAATTCAAACTGTACGATTTACTGTTAAGTTTGGGAATAAGCATTGGGTTAGATTAATAATAGTTATTTGGAATTAAATTACTTTCATTTTTAGTACTTTTCAAGTACACTTTAATAATAATAATAAAATATATATTTTATGCATGTAATAATATTACATACATAAAGTTTTAAAAAATGTACAAAACTAGTCAATGATATGGTTTTAAAATTATAACATTTACAATTAGCAAGTAAAAAACAACAATTAGCAAGTGCACTTACTTAAGTTTATATACATTGAGAAATGTTAGTTCCATGTAGTATTAATAAAATTAGTTATTGTGTATAGGTAGGTAGTTAAAGAATTGTATCAAAGACATGTCGTGATCTTTATCTTTTCAACTTATTGTGGTTTCTGTGGTTATGTAGATATAAATATGTAGAAATTATCAGGTATAGTGGTTATTAAAAATCTTTGTTTTTTCGAAAGAAACTGAATATTTCGCTATTTATTTTATAGCTTCATCAGGAGTACACTGTAAAACAATTTTAAAATTTCAAAAATGGCGTAAAAATACAATTTGGCACAGGTGATAACTACAAAAGTAGATTATTTCTTGAGATGTATCACATCAACAAAAATGAAAACACTTTAAATTATAAAACAGGCAATGGACAGTTAAGTAACTGTCCAGTTTCCGTTTACTGTTAATTGTAATATATTAAACAAAATTGATAAATATTGAAAATAGCCAATATTCACCTTCATAATAACCAACCTTAATAATTCATCAAAGAAATATCATTCTTCTAACGTTTCTTTTATTGCTATTTTTGTTTTTACACCTAAAGTCATTTTAAATTTTTTATCATATTACTGTAACTAACGTGCTTAAGACATTTTAATCATGACATTTATTACATACTTCCATGTCAATTTTTATATGTGAAACCTTTTAATTTCTGTAAGTGTTTTTTAAATGTATTTGTACGCCATTTTTGTAATGTTAAAATTGTTTTACAGTGTACTCCTGATGAAGCTATAAAATAAATAGCGAAATATTGAGTTTCTTTAGAAAAAACAAAGATTTTTAATAGAGACCACTATACCTGATAATTTCTACGTTTATAAATTATTTTTTGATTGAAATAATCACTTGTATATATATATATATATATATATATATATATATATATATTATATATATATTATAAGGATCATTCAGGCGAGTGGTGGGCTCTTATATCAGTCTCAAGGTGGAGAAATAAAAGGCAAAGTTGATAGGCTACTTTATTTTGAAAACGTTTCGCTTTCGTATTCTGAAAGCATCATCAGTTCATCATCTAAAAAGTACAATATGAGAACCACACAATCATGGAGAAGATGTTATAAGTGTTACTTTAACAAGACATGTAGCAGTCAATGATATTAACAGATTTGTGAGTAAAACTCAAGTAAATAGACATTATACCCTAATATTGTATAAACAATCAATTAAATAACAACATTGATTGTTTATACAATATTACCATATAATGTCCAATATATATATATATATATATATATATATATATATATATATATATATATATATATATATATATATACATATATATACAGTGCTAGTCAAAAGTCCGTTCCCCCCTTTGTATCTTTTGAACGGTTATTGTTATAATAGTGACGTTTGGAGGGAAGTAATAAACAGAGGTAGGCTTCTCATCTAGACATAATAGGTGACGTAATAGTGACAGATGACGTTACAACGCCACTGTGACAGATAATTTTAAATGGGACCTTATGGCAAGTGATACCTCGTTTGAAAGGTATCGAAAATACCTATTCAGTAATAATAATTTTATTTGAGTTTAAGCTCATTTTGATAAATAAATTAAATAAATACTAAAATTGTAGTTTCGCATTTAATAATTAAATATTAAAACCTCCGCCTCTGGTTACTTGCCAAAAAGTTGACATTTTTCAATTCTCTAATTGTTTTTGTGTCAACGTCAACTTTTTTGACAATTAACCAGAGGCGAACGTTAGAATGTTTATTGATTAAATGCGAAACTACAATTATTTTAATATACCTATTCAATCATACTAATTTTGTTTGGATTTAAGATGCTTTTGACGAATAAATTAAATAAATACTAAAGTTCTAATTCGGTATTTAATTAATAAAAATTGTAACGTCAGCCTTTGGTTATTTGTTAAAAAAAGTTGACGTTTGTCAATTCTCTAGTTGTTTTTAGTTTGCAAAAGCATTTATAGCCCAATCTTTAGTTTCTGTTTCTACTTAGTTTACTTAATTTAAGTTTAGTCAAGTTGTTTTTCGTTAGTTGTTCTTAGTTAATATGTAGTTTAGTTTATTATTCTTTACAAAGTCAGAATGGTACGTACTGTATCCGATAAAGTAGCAGCTGTATTACTAATTGGTGCATGTGGAAATAATTTCCATGCAGCGGAACGTCTTTTTAATGAGAGGTACCCCAATCGCCCTATATTGAGATCTTATTTGAGAAAGCTTCTTTAGAAGTTTAAACAAACAGGTAGTGTTCAAGATGTCAAACGTTCTGGTCGACCAACAATATATAGTGATGACAAAAAAATTGACATAATATCAGAAATGGTAGCGAACCCTACTTCTTCTAAAACCCAAGTTGCATCTATCTATGGAATTAGTCAAAAGACAGTACACCGAGTGTTGACTGAAAACAAATTTCATCCATACAAATTAAAAATTGTGCACCAACTTTCAGATGATGACCCCGACCGAAAACTAGAATTCTGTGAAAATATGTCCAATAAAATTAACCAACAGCCCAATTACATAAAAACAATTTGTTTTGGTGACGAAAGTACTTTTTATCTCAATGGAAATGTTAACACACACAATGTGAGGTATTGGAGTGACACAAATCCTCACGTCTTTCGTAAAACACATACTCAATTTCCAAAAAAAAATAAATGTTTGAGCAGGTATTTTGGGAACCACATAGTTGAGCCTGTTTTTCTCGGTGAAGTGTATCTGGAGATGTTACAAAATGCAATTGAACCATTAATACTGGAAATTCTGAAGGATAATCCAGATAATTCGGCAACTTGGAAATAACGTTTCAACAAGATGGTGCTCCTGCACACCATTATGGTGCAGTAAGACGTTACCTAGATGAGCAATATCGTGGTAGACGGATTGAACGACGAGGTACGATAGAATGGCCAGCTCGGTCACCGGACCTCACACCATTAGATTGTTTTCTGTGAATATACTTGAAATCTAAAGTTTACGCTACAGCAACCGACAATATTGACATTTTGAAACAACGAATTGTTGAACAACGTAGGGCAATTTCCACCGACACATTTGAACGAGTACGGCAAGAGTTTAGAAATAGGATGCATTACTATCAGGAAGTAGATCGAGCATATTTTGAACACTTAATATAAGAACTGGTTGTTAAATATTTATCAATTAAATGAGAAGCTACAATTTTAGTATTTATTTAATTTATTCATCAAAATGAGATTAAATTTAAACAAAATTATTATGACTGAATAGGTATTTTCAAACGAGGTATCACTTGCCATAAAGTTCCATTTAAAATTATCTGTCACAATTGCGCTGTAACGTCATCTGTCACTATTACGTCACCTACTATGACTAGTTAAGAAACCTAAGTTTGTTTATTACTTCCCTCCAAATTTCACTATTATAACAATAACCGTTCAAAAGATACGAGGGGGGGAACGGACTTTTGACTAGCACTGTATATATATATATATATATATATATATATATATATATATATATATATATATATATATATATAATTTGCAACTGTACCTAATAGAAAACGGTCCAGTCTATTTTTAAACATGTTAGTAGAAGGGGCAGAGAAAATGTTATCACTAAGGTTATTCCAGCTCTGGAAAACTCTATTTGGTAGAAAAGAAAGTTCTGTCTTGATCTTGTAGAAAAGTTCTCTTTTTTAAGTTTAAACGTGACCTCTGAGGCGTTCATCTTGATTTATGGTAAACATTTCGTACTCTTATTTTCGAATTATCCTGGATATGTAGCACCTGTATGAAAAACAAACCAGTAAATATCAAAGATTATATATATATATATATATATATATATATATATATATATATATATATATATATATATATATATATATATATATATATATATATATTATAAGTTTAGAAAATAGGAACCTTCTTAATTTAATTAATTAGTAGTTTAAGATATATCTAGTATTAATTAATATACAAGTATGTAAATGGTCTGAATCTTAAGTTGGCTGCATTTGAAAACATATTTAATATTAGTTTTATAAAAATGTTATTCATAAAAAGTTCTGAAACTTCATAAACCTAAAATACCATAACATATATAAACCTTAATTTTGTACACAAAGTAAGTAACTTTATATAAAAAAAGCATAAATCATATTTTGAAACTCAACGAACTGCTGTTGTTACATCAATAAAAAATGTCAAATCTTACATATTTAAAGAATGGTCAAACCAAAATGTGTTTAATTATTAACTAGTACTTTATACAAAATATCAAGAACCTTCTAGTTGAAATATCTTTGTTCACACCTATACAAACTTATTTATTTGCAAATGAAACCCTGTGAAATGTACAATTGAAGTTGTATACAAAGTACTGTGTAATGTCCAGGTGTAATTCAGAATATTACCTACATTATTTTAATAACCTACTTCATTTATAAGTATTTATAATTATTATTACCTGAGATTCACCAATTGTAGGGATTGCATTCTCACGCAAACGGACAAAAGCTAATGAGGTCCTATCTATACAGTCCTCCGCAAAATGTTTGGAAAACAATTTGCTATGTTTTGATGGTTCCCAGTTCCCACACTATTTACAAACTGTATCCAGGCATTTCTCTTTTCAACATCTTTAGAAAATCTACAACCACATAAACCAAATTAAAAAGATTACCTGTTCTTTTTACACGCGGCCTCACTAAAAACGGAAGTAATACCGCCTTGTACACTGTTTACAATTTCATACTAACCGATGAAAAGATATTCCAGTTGAGTTTTTCTTATTATTTCAACTCTTATTTAGACACAAAACAAAAGCACACGAA